CCTTTACATTGATGCGTCTACTACCTCCAGCTTACCCTACCACACTTCCTTTACATTGATGCGTCTACTACCTCCAGCTTACCCTACCACCCTTCCTTTACACTGATGCGTCTACTACCTCCAGCTTACCCTACCACCCTTCCTTTACATTGATGCGTCTACTGCCATGCTCACCCTACCACTCTTCTTTCGATAAAAGCGGTGTAAAACAATACTCACTCCACCCTTCCTTTACACTGATGCGTCTACTGCCTCCAGCTCACCCTACCACCCTTCCTTTACATTGATGCGTCTACTGCCTCCAGCTTACCCTACCACCCTTCCTTTACATTGATGCGTCTACTACCTCCAGCTTACCCTACCACCCTTCCTTTACATTGATCCGTCTACTACCTCTAGCTTACCCTACCACCCTTCCTTTACTTTGATGCGTCTGCTGCCTCCAGCTCACCCTACCACCCTTCCTTTACATTGATGCGTCTAATGCCTCCAGCTCACCCTACCACCCTTCCTTTACATTGATGCGTCTACTACCTCAAGCTTACCCTACAACCCTTCCTTTACATTGATGCGTCTACTACCTCCAGCTTACCCTACCACCCTTCCTTTACATTGATGCATCTACTGCCTCCAGCTTACCCTACCACCCTTCCTTTACATTGATGCATCTACTGCCTCCAGCTTACCCTACCACCCTTCCTTTACACTGATGCGTCTACTGCCTCCAGCTCACCCTACCACCCTTCCTTTACATTGATGCGTCTACTGCCTCCAGCTCACCCTACCACCCTTCCTTTACATTGATGCGTCTACTACCTCCAGCTTACCCTATCACCCTTCCTTTACATTGATGCGTCTACTACCTCCAGCTTAACCTACCACCCTTCCTTTACATTGATGCGTCTACTACCTCCAGCTTACCCTACCACCCTTCCTTTACATTGATGCGTCTACTACCTCCAGCTTACCCTATCACCCTTCCTTTACATTGATGCGTCTACTACCTCCAGCTTACCCTACCACCCTTCCTTTACATTGATGCGTCTACTGCCTCCAGCTCACAATACCACCCTTCCTTTACATTGATGCGTCTACTGCCTCCAGCTTACCCTATCACCCTTCCTTTACATTGATGCGTCTACTACCTCCAGCTTAACCTACCACCCTTCCTTTACATTGATGCGTCTACTACCTCAAGCTTACCCTACCACCCTTCCTTTACATTGATGCGTCTACTACCTCCAGCTTACCCTACCACACTTCCTTTACATTGATGCGTCTACTACCTCCAGCTTACCCTACCACCCTTCCTTTACACTGATGCGTCTACTACCTCCAGCTTACCCTACCACCCTTCCTTTACATTGATGCGTCTACTGCCATGCTCACCCTACCACTCTTCTTTCGATAAAAGCGGTGTAAAACAATACTCACTCCTTCGTTCCTTTACAATGACGCCTTTACTTCCTTCGGCTGAACCCACCGCCCTGTCCATACAGTGACACTACAATGTATGTCCTCTTGTTGCCTTGATTCCGCTCAAGACGACATGCAATTCATTGTGTAGAAGACGGAAGTCCCTGTTGCGTGTCGCCCTTGCATGAAGACGGTCTGGCGTCAGGTAACGATTACCGATACCATCACTCATTGTTCCGCTCTCATCAACGAATGGAGAATTGATGACACGATAAAGTTTAAGATATCGTATTTCTGCCCAGGTGACTATTCCTAATATAATGAATTCGAAAACCCTTATGTTGATGTTCCATATCAAATTGCATACTACCTATTTCCTATTAACTATAAAACCATGCCTCAAGTTCGACCGACCTGTTGTACGAACTATATTATGGATCATTTGCGGTTGACAGTGAAATCCAGCAATACCACTACAACACAACTACCTGAGGTATGTGGATATAAAACGTCAACGCCAGAGATTAACCAGTGGCTTCCACTGGGCGTAAAATACAATCTAGCGGGGAAACGTATACGAATGTTTAATTGAAAATCAGTGATGACACCAGATGCTCCCCAAAATGGTAAACATGTCATGCCCAACCAGTAGCACCCGCCACTCACACTGAATACAAAAAGCATCTGCTTGTTGCCTGACGCCGTACTTCGAATTCTAACATGCGACGGCGGTCTGTAGACAAACCAGACAAGCGGGTGTGGTAATAACGCGTTTAGTGATTTTGTTGATTTTGAATAAAGTTTGGGCCCCGGTGCGTTTGTTTGTTTATTGTTTAACGCCGCCTTCAGCAATATTCCAGCTATATGGCGTTCTGTAAATAATCGAGTCTGAACCTCACAATCCAGTGATTGATATCATGAGCATCGATCTACGCAATTGGGATACGATGATATGCATCAACCAAGTCAGCTAACCTGACTACCCGATCCCGTTTGTCGCCCCTAACGCAAGCATGGGTTGCCGAATACCAATTCTAACCCGGATATTCACGTGGACGGTCGTACGAAATCGCGATATCGAGTTTATTACAATTGTAAAAACAAGAAAGAATTCAATTGAATCCCACACGGTGTAAATATTCTAGTCAACTGAACCAGTCATTGCACTACGAGTTTAGTCAATTTAATCCCTCATCGCACAATAAAGTAAAGTCAATTGAATCCATAACAACGTAAGGGTCGGTCAATTGAATGTAAATTAGTGAGTGAGTGAGTGACAGGGTTGGTTTTAACGCCACTTTGACCCTGTCATGGCGTGTCCGCTCGTGTGGGTTTAAAGCCCGAATTGAGTTGCGACACTTCAGGCGACAAGGCCACCCGTGCTAACAAACCCGCCCTACCCCCCCCCCCCCCCCCCCCGCCCCCCCCCCCCCCCAAAAAAAAAAAAAAAAAAATATAAAATAAATAAATAAGTAAAATAAAATAAAAAATATATAAAAATAAAATAAAATAAAAACACCAAAACCAAAAAAACAACCAGCTCGCCAAAAAAAGGACATTTTCGTTTTACGGACCACCTAAATGACCTTGACCCCGTGACCTTGGTGACCTTGAATTTTTTAAAATGGTTTTAGTCCAGCTACCCGATCCCGGGGTCAAAACCGCCAAAATCGCAAAAACATTCCCTTGCCCCGGAATGCACACGTTTGGGCGCTCGTATTTCGGGTGTATGAACGTATTCGTGTTTCCACAACCTGATTAGTGGTTTTTGTCGAGGGAATGTACTGCACACTAAGGGTAGTGACAACACTCTAAAGACCTGTAAACATTGTTGGTCCATAGGCTGAATAACAAATTAAATTAAGGTATTCCTTGCATAAAGAGTTATACAAACGTATCCCTTGCCAAATAAAAGTCAAATAAGTCATTCACGAATATCTCAGACAACATAAACACGGTATTCTGTTTGCAATGCGTGGCGCATATTTGGTCACATGACACAGATGACTGTGATTAATTCTGAGGAGTGAGTGAGTGTGTTGGGTTTAACGCCGCTTTTAACAGTATTCCAGTTATATCACGGCGTGTCATCTTAATGTGGAAGGAAAGCCCAAAGTGATGCAGGTCTCAGACGTTTACCACTTAGGTGTAACCCACGAGCACGGATATGGTGCTGACAAACCTAGAAACATAATCGGGGCGAACCGGGATTCGAACCCACGTTCATAGGTTTCTGCCGTGCCCAAGGGGCGCAACTCTGCAAAGCGAATCGCGGCGCTTTGAACGACTGGGATACCCGTGCTCCCAAATCTGAGAAAAGGCTACATAATGTTAAGGCTGGTAGGTGACGTTCGGGCTCTGGTGTCCCCCGCCGTGATATTGCTGGAATATTGCTAAAAGCGGCGTAAAACCATACTCACTCACTCGGGCTCAAGTTCGGCGAAACACCGTTCGCCAGGTGGAACCGGCTTTGCGAACGTTGCTGTAAGGAACAACCACGATATACAGAACAAATAAAGTTTGGCATCATGAATATTTGTAGGGATATTTTTTTATGAAATTGCGTCTTCACTACCAAAATATCCTCAAAACTATTTATGATCCCCAACTTTATTTGTTCAGTTTATCGTGGTTGTTCCTTGCAGTAATTGATACTACACGCATAACCAGCATTCGGTACTTTATTTTGTTAATCTTAACATCTGGCACTGAGAATGGTACCGTCTATATTTATGGACTATTACTTATGTTCCACCCTGGTACCCAAACCTTCTCGAACCATTTTTACTTGCACCATATGTTCAGGTGACCAATTGATTTGCCTTTGCATGTGTTTGTAACGGGTGCCCTCCTTTTCGATAACACCTGTTATCATCACTATTTCATAAACACATGTTCAGAAAATATTTGGAATAGTTCAATCTACTAGATTTCTTTTGAATATGGAAATGGTTTTGTTGCTTTTATATAATTATTGTTTTGAAAACAACCAAACCTTTCCTTCCGAAATGTAAAGTCTAAGAACACGAACGGGTCGAGTTTACTTCCTCGGTCGCTGTTACTGTTATGTTTCTAAAAACAGCGACAGAGGCAGTAAACTCGATTAATTATGGGATATAACTTTATATACGACCCGAAACGGGAAAGACAGCAACTCCTAATGCGCCTTCTAAATGCTGTAGCATGAAAGTAAACAATTTGTGGATGTCCAACTTAACGTCTTCAGGGGATCTCGCGACAGAAACACAACACGGTCTTGACGGTTAGAATATTAAACACTTTCAAATCAATTTGCGAACATCACTGGGCAAACCTTGCGCGAAGAATGGCCTACAGTCTATCTGCTGAGAAGGCTGTTTTTCTCGGGGGAATCCAGAGGTGCATCAATTTTAAACATATTGTTATCTCTCTGAACAGCCTGAGAGTTTTGCCTTTGGTGAAATCATTATAAAGTTTTGGAGTGTGAGATGGCCTGTTGGTACCAGAGTGTAAACAACATTTCAGCCGCGTCTCACGTTTGAAAAATACATGTTGAATAATAATACATATTTTTATTAACATATGAATGCTCTTTTTCTTTTCAGTCAACTTTGATCACTTTCAAATTCTCCGTGCCATCGGGAAGGGAAGTTTTGGGAAGGTAGGTGTCATACGTTCCTTAGAAAATTTCAAAGAGCCTCATACGACTCGTGGTCAAACGTTGTTTGATCAAGGTTACAGTATTCAAGGCCCCAGTAAAGCTTTCAAACAATTTTATGGTAGGCATGTGGGGGACATTTTCAAATTTGACGCTAAAGTGACAAGAATGATGTCCGATTCAATTCCCTATTTTAACTTGTACCATATGTTTTCATGTATTTTTCAGGTGAACTATTGGTTTGCCTTTGCAATTGTTTGTGACGGGTGCCACCGGTGATGCAGGATACGCTCACCTTTTCGCGAACGCCTGGTGTCATCACCATTTGCTATACTAGTGATTCATAAACACATGCAAATGATGTCAGAATCGCACATTCGACTCTGCTTTTAGCAGACATTTGTTATGACTATGGAAAATGTTCTATCGCTTTTATTCATATATCGCATAACTAGTAACCAATAAACAATACTCAATCACAATGAAGACGAGTTCCCATTATGATGCTGCATTAGACATTAACGGTTTGTTTTATTTGATCTGTTCTGGATTTGACCGGCGTCGAAGTGCTTATTCTCAATCACACGTTCGCTACAGATGTTAAGAGCTAGTGGATTTATACAAGATTATTGCACTTTTATAGCGACGTGCATGTACGTGTGTGTGTGTGTGTGTGTGTGTGTGTGTGTGTGTGTGTGTGTGTGTGTGTGTGTGTGTGGCTGCTAGTTGGAACAACACGAAGACTAGACACTTTAATAGATAACAACTTCTTTATTGCTCGTAACAGTGTCTTCAGGTATTCAGTTGTAACACGGCATGTCAGGAAAGAGGGGGGGGGGGGGGAGTTGGGGTGTTTAGCTTAGACGCATGGAGGTCGTACACATTTCTTACTTCGGAGAGAGAGTACAGAGAGTTGCTGACAGTCCAAGTATTGGTGCGATCCCGGGATTGGAATGCTATAATGTGCATTTTGACACGGAAGTGGGCCGCATTGAAAAAAAGGACGAAACTTATCTCCTAACGACAACTTCCCACTTCCCCACATTTGCTAATGAAGAATAAATATTGATCATGCAGTAGAAATATACACGTTTTAAGTAAATAGTGTGATAAACACTGAAAATATGGCTTGGCTAGGATGAAGCGTTTAATCATTTGGGTAGAATGAAGACTTGAACTTTTCGGTTGTTTGTTCATTAAGGAATCATTTGTCATTATTTTCACCATCCTAATGTGATCTAGTAAGACTTTCCAAATCATTTGATGGGTTCCTAATGTGTACTGCCCTTTCAATGACCCAGCTTCTGATAGATATGTCCCCAATGACCCCGGCGCTTCCCTGTAGAGGCAGGGAGCCGTCGAGGACGTCTTTATCACCGTGGTTTCACTTACATTAGTATTACAGCTATATATACTTGTCAATACTAGTAAAGGATTTCCCGTTACGATTGACGTGGATAGAAAGATTTGCTGTCAAAAGTAATAGTCTTCAGGGTAACAGTACATTTTGGCTAACCACGGAAACAGCTCCAATGTGCGCTGCTTGCGATCATGAATTGAACTGCGTCCATCTGGCCATTCGGCTCGCCCCGGAATGACGAGTGTTGACGATCTGAAACAGCCAGAAACTGATTTCCTCACAGCTAGGTTTATTTTTCTCACAAGGCGTGGATATCTGAGAAAAATAAGCCTCGTTGTAGGGATATTCGATTCCTAAGTCTGTAGGTATTATTGATTACATGTTATCGGTGAAGGCTAATGGGAACGAGATGTTATGGATCGTGTATCCTTAGCAATTAGTTTGCAATCTGAAAATGTGGGTATTTCTTATCAGAGGAAATGTGAAGATTTTCAAGAGCAAATAGACTAAAAATAGTATGCTTGGCCAAAAGGGTTTACACCTTTGATAACACATGTACGTTTCTGTATATACTTGATGGAAAACAACATTATAATTCACTAATACCGTATTTTGTCTAAAAATACTAAAAGAGTAATAGGATTTGGCTGATTATCGTTATTATTTAGAGTACGATTCTTCATGACCCAAGACCTTATTATTTTACCTCTGGTGGTAGCGACATGTCTCTTTTGTAGTCCTTATATTCCTTGCAATAAGCATCCGATTTTCAGTGATCCATTCATATAAATTTCTCAGTTATTTTGCCTCTTTTGCCCAACGGAATCTGTTTCGGCAGCTAATCTCGTTATTCTCTGGCGTTGGCGTTGGCGTTGGCGTTGGCGTTTGCGTTTGCGTTGTATATTATTTATGATACTTTGTAACCTTACCCGTCTTTACTTTCTGATCGACAAAGTAGTTCTTTTCGTTCAATACTAGACAATAGAAACAATCGCACTAGCACCGTTATTCGCTTGAACTTAGCAGCACACGGGGACTTGTAGTAATCATGTATATTACAACCAAGATAAATATTATTATGAATAATAATGTATTGCCATTGTGTGACAAGGAACAACATTTGGCGTTTTTGCTTTACGGTTTCGACACACAATTGCGGAAGACGATTTAAATCCTACGTCAGTATTTCCCCGTGGTTGAGAGCGTGACACCGGGATGAAAAAAGACAGGCTTGGTCTAAAGTTCGTGTATCTAGTCGCTCGCACTCACGCACTCACGCACGCACACGCTCACTCTCACACACAAACATACCCGCAGAAATCTGAGGCCTGTCTCCTGGAACGAGAACCATCATTTATAAATGAGCAAACTCTACCTTCACTTCAGTGTTTCGGTTTCATTAATGTACATCTAAAGACAATCCAGTCCCGACCCAACACAGAATGGCGAGGATCTTACGATACCAGAAGGTAGCCTAAATGTACAATATTAATGCCTATAAGTCACGCTTCCTCGAAAAGCGTTTTCCCTTGCGATAAACCCGGATGTAAATGATTCATCCTTGTGCAGATAAAGATCCCAATTAGTGTTTTAACATCAATGCGAGACTTCACTGTCGTACTTGGCCAGTGATAGCAACAGTGTGTCAGGGCAGGGGTAACGTCGCTAATACCGATCTACCAATAGCAGTGCTCCATTACCGGTAATCGACCAAATGTGTCATTTGATCATCAACACCGTGTCAATAACGACATTCGACCATATCCTCCCATCACCGGCATCAGAGACCCCAATCCGTGCCAGTAGCTGTATTTGTTCAGTTACACTACAACCATCGACCATAGCACTGCCCTGAAGCAGGGGTACATGGAACTTGGTAGTCGCAGTGAACCATTATTGGTACACAGGGTGCGAGAAACATTCTCACATTGCAGTCAGTCATTCATGTACATGTTATTACTCTGCCACCATTCAAACAGTGACATGCTACATCGTTTGCCATTCTATCACTTACAATCTTACAATGTGACCATGCCACTATTCAGTGTCTTACAGTGTGGTGATTTGACCCCTGACAAACTTACATTTTGTCCATTTGACCCCTGACAGATTTACATTTTGTCCATTTGATCTGTGACAGATTAATGTGTCTATTTGACCCCTGACAGATTTAAGTTGTGTTCATTTGACCTGTGACAGACTTACATTTTGTCCATTTGACCCCTGACGGATTTACATTGTGTTCATATGACCTATGACAGATTTACATTGTGTCCATTTGACCCCTGACAGATTTACATTTTATCCATTTGACCTGTGACAGACTTACATTTTTTCCATTTGACCTGTGACAGATTTACATTGTGTCCATTTGACCTGTGACAGTTTTACATTGTGTCCATTTGACCCATGACAAATTTACATTGTGTCCATTTGACCTGTGACAGATTTACATTTTGTCCATTTGACACCTGACAGATTTACATTTTGTCCATTTGACCCCTGACAGACTTACATTTTGGGTGACAAAGACTTGTGATTTAACTTCACATTGTTTAAAAAGGCAAAATAACAAACATAATCCTATTTCTAGATATTAGTTCTGAAAATTTAGAAATGTTTTAAAATATTTCTGTATACAACTCTGTACAAGGAATGCTATTATCCCCTGGAAGCAACAATTAATTCTACAGTTCCTTTTTTTTGAACCTGTAACAGTAGTGACATGGCATTATTTTATGCGTTAAGCTTGCAAACGATTTATATAAACTCTTCATCATATTTTAAAAAAAATATTTTAATTATTGAAAGAAATATTTGTTTTCTTAGTTCCACGTGTATGAACTATTTTTCATTTTTTGAAAATTACCCAGAGCTTAAATAACGACCAACAACAAGAAACTTTCGCGGCGTTTTCTTTTGCTTTCGGAACGCCCCGATTATGTTCTGTTTCGAGATAAAATGATAAGATATACTTGTCTGAATGCTTCGTACCTAGAATTTATAACGCTGATTTTGATGATTAGAAAGTTCATCTGAGGCAACCATCTAATGAGGTGCCCTCAGGTCCTCGCACAGAGAGGTGTCGTATAGGAGAACATGATCTGCTGTTAATGAGAATGTGGCCATTCCGCCACAATCGTAGTAGGTAATAATATTAGGTCTTCAACGCAGGTTAGTAGTGTGGCACTCCATCTTCTAACATGGCATGGATACAGTCGTTATCTGTCCCAGATTATGCCTTCACTGACGTCATTTTATTCCAGTATTCCTACTTAATTTTTTTTATACATATACAGTAAACTACGGTTATAACGAACTCAAAGGGACTACTAATTTTAGTTCGTTATAACCGTAATTCGTTATAAGCATATATACAGCATAACTACAGCATATAGTCGGGACTAAAAAGTTAGATCGTTATATCCGTTAGTTCGTTATAAGCGTGTTCGTTATAACCGTAGTTTACTGTATATACAATTATCGTAATAAAGGTCACGTGTCATGTAAACTAATGTCCAAAAGAAACGATACCACACATTTTTCTAAATATTTTATTATGAAGAGTTAATTTTCGTCTGAAAAGGTACTTTAGCGTATCCTACGTTCCAAACCAAACGTATTCGGTCGATAAAACCGGGAA